AAGTAAAATTTATGAGGATTAGGGTTGATTTTTTTTCTTAAAGTTTCAAGTCAAAATGCCTTAAATGCAAACATTTTGGCGGCCTAGTATTTTTTTAGGTGTGAAAAGATAAATTCTAAAAGTGAGAATGGGGCCAGATAGGAACTACTATAGAGAAAAACTTGTTGACATACGAGGGGGTATTCGTAAAGTAAGTTAATATTTGTCATATCTTCTAAACTAATAAAGATAATTTAAATCTGTAAAAATTTTGTGAATTGTCATACTTTCAGCTTTCTAAAAAGCGTCCGCTTTTTAAATTTGGTCTTCTCAGTGCCGAGTGACATCAGTTTTCCCACACCCGTCTCTCATCACCGCGTGTCCAAAATTTACGCGCGTCTTTACGGGTGCTTGATGAGTGTTACTCATTTATTTCTTAGAAAGAAGCACAAATATTGATGCAAACAGAAAGTGTGATGCCATGAAAAGGCTCAAATCAGCATTCAAAAGAAAATACTTTGGCCTTTTGTCTTGTCAAGTAATGCTGCTTCATGACAATGCTAGGCCCCATACAGCTCATGTGACCAATCAGTTGTTGACCTCCTTAAAATGAGACCTTTCCCACATCCTCCTTATTCTCAGGATCTCACTCCACGTGACTTATCACTTTTTACCTGAGCTAGAGAAGAGTTTTGGCGAAAAAAGTTCCGTGGACGACGATGAGGTGAAAGAAGCTGTACAAAAGTGGCTGCAAAAACAGAATCGCCAGTTTTACGCTGATGGAACAAATAAGCTCTTGATATGATATGTAAAATGTGTCCTACGAGATGGGGATTACATGGAAAAGTAAAGTCAGGTCTTCACAAGCATGGAAATTTTAAATTTCAAACAAAAAATTCCATTTTGACAATTTGCAGGATGCAGCCGCATGCTACCGTCCTGTGACGTCCCCAGCGGGCGTCAATTTTGGACACGCGGTGGTGAGAGACGGGTGTGGGAAAACTGATGTCACTCGGCACTCAGAAGACCAAATTTAAAAAACGGACGTTTTTTAAAAAGCTGAGAGTATGACAATTCACAAAATTTTTACAGATTTAAATTATTTTTATTAGTTTAGAAGATATGACAAATATTAACTTACTTTACGAATACCCCTCGTATATATTTTTACAAATACTTAACCTGAAGTAGTTGTAAAAAAGAGTTATGAACAGAAATGAACACATTAGACTGAAAAAGTACACTTTTTTCTAGTCGTCGTTGTCCGGATGAAAAAACGTAATTCCATTCCAAAGTTGCAAAACTGGCGGCAGATATTGACGTGATACTCACAGACTCACACGGCTCCGGAATACAACTATACGTACTCGGCGGATGTCCGTGTTGCATATTCGACAGTATGAAGGCGCGCTGGCTTCCTTCACGCTCACTCCTCACAAGTAGTCACTCCAATGTATGGATATCGCGAGAGCCTATACTAGGAGACCAAGAGGCACCTCATTCGGAATTTTCCCAAGTTAAAGCGGGCTGATTTTTTTAAATCGATGGATGAAGCAATAGACAAAGAAGATAAAATGAAAATGAAGCTATCCTGATGCGTTTGGTTGCAATGGACAAAGGAGGTAAATAATGGACTAACTAACGACAACCCACGAGGGACCTCAAAATAAGTTTATCATTATCCCCCCCTCCCAGTCTATAACAACCATTCCTTTCAGCCAATAGAATCACTCCGTTGTCTCTTCGTTCTCTTCGACTATTGACCTGTGTATCGATTTCAGTAATCAGCCCACTAATTTGGCTCCAAATCAAAGACTCGATATAGGTGACTCAGGGAACATCGGAACGCTAAGGTTAGTTTTATTTGTTAGAGATAATTCCGAAGACGTGGAAGAATACAGTGGCGTGGCGTGCTTTTCGATATATCGATTGATCCGCCTTTTAAACATATGGAAAAGAATCGATAGACAGGGTGTTCGTAATGAACACCTTAATAATAGATTCTATACTATAGCTTCAAATGGGGAAATATCGATAAACGCTCTAAAGTTCTTTAAAAAAAATTCATACAATCTAGGAACCATCGATTGATCGATCGACTACCAATTCATCCTCCACGGTGCTGAAGATATACCTGAACTACACTGGCGTGGTGTGCTTTGCAATATATCGATTGATCTGCCATTTAAACCTATGGAGAAGGATTGATATACAGTGTGTTCGCCACGAATACCTCAATAATCGATCCTTTATCATAGCTTCAAATGAGGAAATATCGATCATCGATCGTTCACGCGACGCAACTGCTGAACTATTCTATGAGAGCCCCGAAATTCAGCGCTCCTGCAGACATGCTGACAACCGGGGGAAAGCCAAGTTTGCTCATCTAATTACAGAGGGCACATGTTACGATTCGCTGTTTGCCTCCTTGACAGAATTCAATAATAATTAGCCCGTCTCTGCAGTGCCGCAAATTTGGACCAGAATACTGCCGTGCTAAGGAAGAACGCCGTATGAACCTTCAGGCGTTGCCAAATTTCCTTTGATCAAATACGAATTTCCTGGTAAAATTATGAATATTTTCCTTTCGATTTTTCAGATAATTTAGTACACAATTTCACCTAGAGTTCCTGAAAATTTCAAGGGAAAATATTCTCAAAATTAAACATTCTATCGAAGGAAATTTGGCAACTCTCGAATGTTCATACGGCGTTCTTCCTTAGCACGGCAGAATACACACAGGTCCATATGAGAAAATCTGGATTCCGGATGAAATGGCAACGTTGCGCCGCGCTATGCAACGATTAATTGTAAATAAACGGTCATCCACCATTCTCCCGCACGCAGTCGCTTGCCTGAGATTGATTATAAACAAATATTTAAATTGTTTCGCGTGACAGCTCGCACTTGGGATACGGCTTCAGGACAACTGGAGCCTGGGGGCATTCGCGGGTAAAGTGCTCAATTGTTGATTTTTTCCCCCTGCCATGGTATCGAAACAATTTTCGCGGTGAACTGACTTACGGGTAGAAATTTCGGGGTGAAATCCGGAGTGCGTGCCACTTCGAAGCCTGCTCCCCCTTCTTCAAACCCTAGTTCTTATAGTAATATAAACAATGACGGTGAAATTTGAAAGTGGTACACCAAAATGACAGCGATTACTCTCTTACAATATTGAAATAAGCCTGATTCGCTGTAGATTCAGCTGATTTTGAAGTTGCAAAAACGCCTTCAATTTTGGAACATGCAACACGCACATTCGAAGAACACGAATAATTGCATCAAGGCGCTATAGTCAAATCCCAATCAGTTTAGTCTTCGTAAAGCCGAAACGACTCAAATTATTGAATTTGCAACAAGCAATCTTTAGAGCCCCTTTACAACAGAATGGTCCTTCACTGGTTAGGCCGACGCAAGGTTTATAGATCAGAAAGAGAAGATATATCGATTCTCAAAAAGTCATCCATTTGGAAGAAGTGCACCAAAATGACATGCCTAATTTACTCTACAGATTCAGCTGTTTTTGAAATTCGGGAATTTCAGAGATAACTTTCAAAGCCCAGGCTCGGGGAACTTAAAAACGCGGTTATTTGGTAGACAAGACGTACAAATGAGGGTCAGTTGATTGAGAAGCTGTAGCGAGGACCAAGAAGGGAATGAGCGGAAACTTTCTACTGCCCTCCTGGGGGATGGAGAGGAACTTACTGAAAAGGGGTCGCTTCGAAAGTTTCTTCGATTCAAGGTAAGACGAGTGGTGAGTTGTGAACTCTCTGAGGCACTCCGAAGGTGGTGTGAGCAACCGAACACACTCTTTGTATTCTACTTGAGCGCATGGTGTTGACGGTGACTGAACGTAACTTTGTGAAGGTATTTATAGATAACATCATCCACCTTTATGAAATAAACTTGCGATCTCTTGTCGATTCACTACTAAGATCTTCCCTCCTCCGTTATTGCGATTATGAAAGTTTTAACATCATCTCATTTTACCCCCAATGATAAGGGCTGTCAAAAAAAAACAACCGCTTTGAAAAAAGTGGCAATTGAAACAGCTAGGTACATGTTGCGAGGTTGTTCATTACGTGTAAAGAAGTGTACAAGACTTGCGAATTTGTCGTAAAAATGATTTGATTAGTACCTCTCCAACTATACATTACTTCTAAGAACGATTTACAACTTAATCAACCAAAGCACATGCTGAAATATCAACTTAATCCGCGGTAATGTCGGTAAAAACATATAAAAGATCAGAAAGTCAGAAAAACCGGGAAAATTTTAAGTAAAGCAATCTCATTTTGAACCGGAAACAACGAAAAATGAGTACGCTTTTATTGTGAGACTGAGGTTTTTTTCGGTTGTAAAGGGATTTTTATTTTTATATTTTGTCACAAACAATTAAGTCTTGGTCTTGCAATGACAGCAAATCGACGAATCATTTTCCTTTTTTCCGTTTAAAAATGAGACTTTTATACTTCAGAACGTCCCGATTTTTTTTCATCACTAAAATCAGTGAGAACTACAAAAACTGTTTGAAATTATATTTTCTCCAGTTCTAGATTTTATTGCATACGCACTAAATATTCAACAATTTTGAATATTGGGTTCTCTTCCGAAATTGTAGAAACATTGTAATGAATGCAAGAAGGTAGACTTTTTACGTCTACGTCCTCATGTTTCCTAATTTCATATAACCCTTGCACAATGCACCCCTGCTCTTTTTACCAATCTTTTTCCGACCACGCTCCCCATCCGTCTACCCCTATCCCTTTTCTAGCGTATTTTACGCAAAAACAAATTAATTAAGAATGTGCAAAATTTGAGAGAGGAATTTGGACTTAACAAATGAAAAGACTTAAAGATTCTGAAAAGAGTTAGTAACCAATATAAAACTTGCTGTAATTTAAAATAAAAGAGACATCAACCGAGCATAGCCGTCCGAAAAAAATTCAGAGCTTTTTGTTAGACCGACATTAAACGGAAAATTTGGAAAATCAAAGGACTTGTAAAGAAAAAGAATGCAATAGATGAACAAACGTAACGATTTAATTATTATTCGACGTCCTTTGGACATTCCAATTACAAAAATAATACTGGTTTATTTGCAGGACAGTGAACGTTTTTACTTTTTTCGGCAAGATAAATTTGACACACAATCAAACGAACACAACAAATAAATGAAACAAACAATCCAATTGAGTCAATCCTTGGTAGGAATAAGTTAAGAAGAGACCTGGTGTAAGAACTTAAAAAGTAATACATAGTGCCATTTCTCTCTGTCTCTCTCCCTCCACCTCCCCCATCTGAGCTGGCTTGTACGTTTCCCAGCAATCGTTACTTTTCGACCATTGGATTTTGAGAGTTTCTGGCGCAGATTTGTCACGTGCAGTACCAATTTGGGCTCACATGGAAGTTCGCATCGTCATAGACGGAGACGGAAGGTCGTTCAGTCCCACGACGACATTGAGAAAGTCTATCGATATTGATAAAACTGCATGATGACGGTGGTGCCCCAGACTGACACGACGGCCTGCCGCGTGACCCTGTTCTCGGGTAATTTCTTCTTGATGTGCTCGAAACAGTCGATCATCCACTTTTCCTCTGTCTGAGGATTCAGGTCCGCCTTATCGATGACCGTCCTCAACAGAATCATATTCTGTGCCTTTTCGAAGATGTACATTTCGCAGTCCCCAGGGACCTTGATGAGCCGGCCTCTAGTCTCCTCCAGCCCTGTAACAAGCCCGAGGGCTGTCCTCAGGGGGGCTGTCTTGAAGTACTTCCCCGTCCTGTTTGCGTACTTGGTCAAGATCCTCGTGGCAGCCTTCTCCTGCTGCCATTGATAGGCTTCCTCAAATTTTTCGTATTCGCGGACCTAGAACACACGCGTTTACCGTTAAATAAATGGAAAAAATTATATTGCTGATTTAACAATAGTTGAAAAAAGTGTCCAAAATGTTTTAATGTAAATTTTACAATAAAAAAAATGTTAAATTAACCACCCCCGTGGTTAAATTAGCTGTCTTCTATTGTAAAATGTACATTTGAAACATGTCGGACATATTTTTAACAATTTAATTGTTAAGTCAGCAATCCATTTTTTCCGTGCATAGTCAGGATTTTTAGAAAAAATGTCGGCTTTTCCTCTGAGCCCGAATTTGATTTCATCCACCTCACCCCTCTCCATCATCCACCCTTCCCTATGCCCCTTACCCTGAGCCTCAGCTCTAGGTGGTGGTTGATTAATTTTTAAAAGAGAACGTTTGTGCGGATTCCTTCGAAACTTTTGAAGAATTTGGTTCATGCCATGCAGAAAATCCAATGGAATTTGCGACGAAGATTCGCGCAACCATTTTCATGTAAAAATTAAATCGCCAGACTCAATTTGAAAATAGCTGACGTGGCTTTGGGTCCTCTCTGCGTAACGCCGTCCATTTTATCTCGTTTTATAGTTTGGAAAATTGTTTTTGATTATCTATACGATATGGTCAAGGCGTACCCCCTAGTATATTTATAGTTTTTAAGCGTACCAGTAGGGCTCGCTTTTTGAAATCACTCGGATGTACCATAGTACAGCACACCGATCAACCAATGCTATTCAACGGGCCGTCCAAATATTTTTTTCCTCGGACCCGTTTTCTTGTCTTTGAACCATTATACTGTCAAGCCCTGATGGTCTCTTACCAAAAAACCGAATGAACTGCTAATTGGGAACCCTTGAGAACATTTTCCTGTCAAAACCGTATTGTTTCATTTGACAAAAACCTCATAGAAGCTTTCTTACGCTCGGAGGACTCAACTCTAGAACCTTCTTTCCCGCCAAAACTGTTTAGCCAATGAGCGTCTTGCACTGCAATTGCAATCTGTGATGAGCCTCGTGACTCTTTATACCATGTACTAACCGTGGCCCCTGCAGAAATCCACTCAAACCACTGCAGTTATCTCCCGATATGGCTTTGGGTGTCAGGTTTCGAGCAAGGCAATAAAAGACGGCGAGGAGAGGGTCGCCTCGTCGAACCTATTATCTTCCACGCCCGATTAACCGTTCACCGTGACACCAGGATCCACCAAATTTTCACAAAAATTGTTTTCCGTCTATTTAGCGAGTTTTTCCTTACTTTCCGTTAAAGTACAAATAAAAAGAGACCTCATTTGTAAAAATCGGCCGAATAGGAGAGAAGTTACAGTTCGAAATCCAAAGAGATTAACTCAACGCGATTTCGATGCTCGGCAGTTCGCCCAAATCACGGTCGTGCGAAATGCCGCATATCAGCTTAAAATCAAGATAATTGGACGGAATCTTTAAAATCAATTTACATTAAACGTTCATGAATCAATATTTTCTCCCAAATTTAGCAAAAAGTACCAATTGATGCAAATAACAAAGACGTGAAAATAGTAGGTATGTGTCCAACATTTTAGTTATTCGGCACGCTTTTCCAACATATTCATGTTGGATTTTTCTGCTTGTTTTTTTTTTTAAATTTGTGACCTTTATAAGACAGAGAGATTATAGGAATTATAGGATAGATGTACAATATTTAAAGAGTAAAGAATAAACGAGTTTTCAAGACAGAAAAACGACGTTTCTAGAGTAGAGACGATTTAAAAAATCAATAGTACAAAACAATGAATGAATAGCAGGTTCAAGTGGCCCCAAGAGCCAAGGTCACGTCGCACGGTGGATTAAGTCCATTAAAGAGGTAGGACATGGAATTTTTAACTAAAACTGCAAATTTTGATGTTTAATTTGTCAAATTTTGAATTTTAAGGGTTGCCTTTGAAGGAAATTTCATGAGGAAACCAATGAATTTTGAAACTTTTGCAACTTTTGAAACCTCAAAATTTTGTATGAACGGAGTTAAAAGCTTTTAAAGTTTCCAAATTTTGTCCGACCTCTCCCATGGACTCGGTCCACTGTGCGTCGGAACTACCCTGTAGTATACCATCGGCAAGTATATTTATACTAGGGGGCTACGCCCCCTGGCCGCTACGCGGCCCAACCCCCTGATGGCGCTCCGCGCCATCAATGGGCCGCTTCGCGGCCCTATTTTTACCCTCCTATCAGTGTTAGTTTTATTTTTCCCCTAAAAAATTATGATATGAGGTATACTTTAATTTTAAACTTTACTTAAGATTACTTTAAAATTAAAGGACGCGTTTTGGAATGACTGCTTGGTGAAATATTGCAGTAAAACAAGACACATTTATAGTCAGGTATTAATCGAAATTTCAGGGGTCGGGGATCGAATCCACACCGAGTTCAAAGTGGACGCACTCGACGTCTTAGACGACACAGCCATCACTCCACTTTTCATGCTGGTGCGAATCTTGTGTAGATAAGTGTAGAGCTGATGCGCAGGCTACCCATCTACAACTGCGCAACTTCCTCGACCACTGCGCATCCTCCCGCGCATAGCGGTAGCAGTACCGGAGCATTCTGTAAACTCACTCACTTTTATAACGTGATTTTAAAAAAACCTGGGTCCTTTTTCCAAAATCTGATTACAGCGGGCTCATCTAGGGCCTATTACCTGTCGATTTACGCAAGAATCATGGAAATCGACCCGGTAGAACGCTCAAACGAACTATGACAAAAAGTATAAATTTACATTGTTCAAATGGGAGAATTCGCAACTTTACCACGTAATATAAAAAAACTTGGGCTATATTTTGAAAATCTGAAAAGAGTTGGCTTATCTAGAGACAATTGCCCGTCGATAGCCGCAAAAATCATGAAAATCGGCCCGGTAGAACGCTGGAACTAAGCGTTACCAGTTTCGCAAAATTAGGAGATCTTGGAGCTTATAGTATAGATAAGAGCCACGATAATGGACCACTAGAGAAGGTACGAATTTAAGCATTCTGATACATGTTTTTTAACCAAAATTTCACGTAGAACACAATGCGCACAACAAAAATTAGCGAAAACAACTCCTTTCGAAGATATTTAATGATTCCTGATGCGTGAATTCAAACCGCCCGCTCAATAAAACTCAATGCTCTACGTGATTCACATCGCGAGTTGAATGTTATCGTGACAGTCTCTGCGATATGAAAATCTGGCAACCACAATTTTGAAGCTTTGGCTCAGCTATAGCAAATTGCTTATCATTTGAACAACACATGGTGGGAAATGAACAGTGCTCGATTGAGAGGCTTGCTGAAACTGTTGTAGTGCGCGCTTTGACTCACGTAGAGCTTTGAGTTTCTTGTGAGCGGGCAGTTCAAAATCCGCGTAACCAATGTGAAATAAAAAGGTTAATTTCTTCGTCAGGAGTTAGTTTCAGTAATTTTCGTTGCGCGAATTGTGATCTACGTGATATTCTGACTAAGCAACATGTATCAGAATGCTTGAATTCGTGCCTTGTCTAGTGGTCCATTGCGTGCAAGTTTAACAGGTACGCAAAGTGCGCACACACGTTATGGAGCCTGGGTCTTCCAGGGTGATATAAAAAACATGTCGAATCACCTGGAAGTGATGCGGGATGCCGTAGACAATGAAGTGGATCGTCTCGCGGAGTTCCTGGTTCGGGATTCGCAGGGCGTAGAGGGCATCCCCGTTACCGGTAATCGATAGGACATCGGCCACCGTTAGGTAACCTAACCTGGTTACATACGTCCAGAACATGTCCTCGTCCGAGTCCATAAGGGACAAGTCTACCTGTGAAAGAAACCGAGGGATAAGATAAATCGACGTCCTTTTGGGCAGTGCACAGAAACGAAAATAGAGGTTTAAAAAAATGCGTCCCTGCGGGCTGATTATTGAAATTGATAGACAGACCGATAGACAAAGATTACATACACTGGAAAAAAAAACGCATTGGATCTAGAGTCCAGACTCTTGCAAACATTGACAAGAAAAAGGACTCTTGATTCAATCAGATTTAAGCTTAAATCAAAAGGAAATCTGCTCAAACTAAGAGGTTTGGTTCTTGATTTAGGCCTAAATCTGATTGAATCAAGAGTATTTTTTCTTGTCGATGTTTTTAAGAGTCTGGACTCTAGATTCAATGTGTTTTTTTTTTTTTCAGTGTAGAACAAACGAAGCGATCCTATTGGCGGTAAAGGGTGGTTAAAATTACTAAAGGAGGTAAGTAATAGACTAAATCATGGCAACCAACAAGAGACCCTGCAGTTCGTTCATCATTTTCCTCCAAAGTGTATAAGAGCCATTCGTTTCAACCAATAGGAAAGCTCTGTAATCCCGGATTCTTCTTTGTCTATCGCTTTGTCTATCAATTTCAATAATAAGCATGCTGCTGAGCAAAAGGGTTAAGAAAATGTGAAGACAATAGTTAGTCGCGCTTGTCAAAGAGTCACGTTTTGTTGATTAAAGCCTATGGAGTAAGCAAAAATAATGAGATCTGAATCACCTAGTATATTATATACCTGCAATTTTGACGATGGTGAGACCCTTTGAAAAACACGATATAAGATACCATTGATCGCAGAGGGGCATTTTTTTCACGTCACGGACATCAAATTTCGACATTTTAAAGTGCCGTTGATGGCGAATAATTTAGGGTCTAAAATTTAAAAAAAATCTATAAACTCTTGAAACGAGGATACTATCTTTTGCCGTAAAGTTTCGTTAAAATAATTAAACCTTAGAAAGACGGATGACGCAATGCACAATTTTTTTTGAGGACACATTTTTTCGCCTTTATTTCGCAAAAATTGTCCTAATACATTTTTGGACCCTATGCTCGTGTATTGTCAGAGAATACCTGCATACCACAATTTTGGACGCTACGCTCACTTCGATTTTTCTAAAAAATCATCCCTAGCTAAAGTGAGCATGGAGTCCAAGATCTTGGACGTGATGAGCAACCGAACATATAGAGCCGAGTCCAATATCATTGACGCGATGCTACATCACCAGTTCGCTGGATCCACCAATTAATCATCATAAGATGTCTTCCACACTACACTAGAAAATAAAACACATTGGATCTAGAGTTCAGACTCTTAAAAACATCGACAAGAAAAAATACTCTTGATTCAATCAGATTTCAGCTTAAATCAAAAGGAAATCCGCTCAAATTAAGAGGCTTGGTTCTTGATTTAAGCTTAAATCTGATTAAGTAAAGAGTATTTTTTCTTGTCAATGTTTTCAAGAGTCTGGACTCTAGATCCAATGTGTTTTTTTCCAGTGTAATTACCTGTTTCCGAAGCCATTGTCTAGGCATAACATCGCCGAGCAAGAACTGTCCTTTGAGGGACGGCATCAACCCGAACTCGTTCCAGAACTCGTACGGGTTCTCATCCCCGCAGGCCTGCACCCAGTGGTCATCCAGATCTCCTCCCCTCCGCAGACTAACCACCACGTCGTACGGGTTGTGGACCGTCCGGTTGCCGAAGTAGTATCCCTCGTACATGGCCTCCATCTTCGGCACCAGCCCCGGTTTCGGCACGCCGAACTGTTTCGCCAGAGCCTCCATTTCATCGTAGGTGAAGCCGAAGAACTCGGAGAGGGCACCGTCGTTCATCGGGTACTCGAGGAAGTTCATGTCTTCAGTTCCGACGTTCGTGATTCCAGTCACGACGCCGAATTCTAAGTAGTCGTCCTGGAATAACGCTCTCAGGATGGCGGAAACTAAAGTGCGGATGCGGTCGTAATATTTGTGTGTGTAGCCGCTGGTATGTGAACAAACATCAACATGTAATATTACTTAAAATTGTTGTAACATGTAATCACACCAAAANAAAAGTTAAAAAGCAGCGAAAATCAGCAATTCCTAATATTTTCTGTAATGTATACCGTCGACCGACGGTTATCGGGTTATCGCCCCGCGTGTGTGTGGTTGCTGCAGAGTCGTTTGAAGGCGTTTTCCGGTCTTACTCTGGGAGGTTTTATTTGGTTGTTCTCCTTATATTTATATTTTTAGCTTGGCGGGGAGATCTACCGATCTCCGTGATATTACCAGAATATTACCAACGTAACGCTAAGTTATCTCGTTTGCATTTTTTAAAAATCTCTCATTTTATTTTTTAGAAGGAGAAAAAATCAATATCATTTCTTGATATTTTCACATAGTTATCTCCACACACGTCGTAATGCACATTGTTCCGTTTACACTACTAGCAAAATTTCACGGAACTTTGCGCGAAAGTTAAGTTCCGTAAACCTACCTCTATGAGGACAAGGTCCGCCATTTAAAAGGAATGAACCCAAAAATTGTGAGAGAACAAACATAAATGTGGTTTAATAATTTTAACTTCCGCCGCTGCGCCGCGCTGATCGCACTGTGATTGGCGCAGTGCGTGAGGTATTCATGCAGTCTTGTAGGCGCTATACGTTTCACGCCAACCGCTCCTGACCGCACTGTTTTTGGCGCAATGGGTGAAGTAAGTATTCATGCAGTCTTGTAGGCGCTAATATGTGTTACATGCCGATCGCCACGCCGAGGGCTTGTCTTTTTCATCTCAAGTCCTCGTCATCATTCCTCTCTGCGTTGAGCTCCAGGCCAAATTGCGTGTTTAGTTCCTCTCTTCATTCTATTAATTAAATATGCTATTTCTTGTATCACCGAAAAACGACAAAATTAGAAATTTCTATCCACTCAGGAGAGAGAGATTTCGTCCCTTTTTCTCATGGATAATTTTTTTCTGAATCCGATTTTTTTATACCTACATTTAAATAAATTGTAAAATATTGCCGCCCCCTAAACCATGGGCCATGGGCCGCGGCCCATGCGGCCACCCCCTTAATCCGGCCCTGTAGGGGCGGGTTGAAATCCCAAAGCGTTCTCTATTGGCTAAGCGCTTGAAAAATCTTGAAATATTGGCATGGCAACTTACGTCCTGATTGGTCCATCGTAATCATCAAGGAGAAGCACGAGTTTCCCACGGCCGGCGTGGAGGTAACGGACCAGAAGTCCGAATGCCTCCGGGATTTGGTTGTCGTTTATTTTCCCCCGGGCGAACGCCTTGAAGGCCGGTTGTTCCGCTGGCGGAACGTGACTGCTATTGGCCAGGTAGGAGTTCTCCTGGTACAGTCGTCGAGCGAACCCTTTGAACGCGCCCCGGACCCCTTCGAAAGTGCTGTGGTTGAGGCCCCCAAAACTCATATATAGGACTTCGCGCTTGTTTAGGAATTTCGCGCAGAAGGCTTTGTCCTTGCAGATCGCCTTGTCCTGGAACAGGTGGGTGGAGTTGATGTTGAGCGCGTAGAAGTGTTTCAGCATGGACAAGTTGAAGGTTTTGCCGAACCCGCGTGGACGGGTGATCAGGATCCTTTTGGTGGAGGAGTTGAATTGTTTGATGAAATCGGTTTTGTCCACCAGGGGGACTCTCAGCTCTACCATTTCTTTGAAGTCATTGCCGGTGTAGGGCGGGAGAGCGGCCAGGTGTTGTGGGTCACTCTGACAACAAAAATGAAATTCAATATCTCTTTATATGCACTGGAAAACAAGCAGGAAGCTCCAACGCATTCGCGTCGGAGAGCGGCTCTGGCGACAGTAGTTGTAGTCAAAAATGAGGGCCTAGACACATTTTGTCACTGATGTACAATCCGACAACTGTCGATTCATGTTTTGTAACTTAGCAGATTTACGTAGCCGGTGTATAAATGTGTATTGGCCCTTGATATGCAGAATGCATGGCACTATCACTTGTTGTATACTTTTAATTTTGAAGGCTCTTTGGAGGTCCGCATCCTAAAAAATTTCTCCCACAGTATTTTTTTTAACTTGTCGTTGTGATTGGGCGCCGATTTCTTTCAATTGAGTGATCATCTTCTTTTTTTGTCAAATAACTAGTTTGTGCAACAATAAGACTGAAACTGACTGTAACTGAAATTTTGTCTTTTTAGATATTTGGTTATTTTGTATTTATTAGATTGTATATTTTCACAGCCCTGTGATAAGAAACTTTGGAATGCATGGTTGATAAGTCGTTTAGCGAGGCTGCAAAAAATTTGCATTTTTATATCTGAAATTGTAGGTAATGGTTTTGAATATCGAATTGCGATATATTACACGGTTAAGATAGGGCTATATGTCTTGTCGTAAGCGGCGACATAGAGTCGATGTCATTTCAATAATCGCCCCGATGGCCACGGTAGTTGTGTGCCGTCTGCCCACGTAGCAAATGGGAGGCGAAAATGGAAGTCATCAGTGCATCGGTGAGTGTCGCAAATTTCGCGATCATCGATGTGTCGGGGCTGAGCATCCATCATTTTCTATCTTGTTTTGAAGCTATGTGAGTTGTGATAAAGTACATAATTTTTTTGTATTATATTACTGTATAAATAGTGTAAAATTTGTACAGAACTTTGTACAAAATAGTTTCTTGTAAAAAGTGTGGACTACTGCCACGTCGTTTCCATACAAACTCCCAATACGCCGCAAGTACCACAAATGCCCATGTTAACCAAATCACCTCATCATCCATTTTTTAAGGACACAATTTTTAATTCAAATCAACTTACTTTATCAAAACTCCAATCGTTTATCAAATAACATATATCGAGTCATTTTAACAAAATCAAAGACGGCATAATATCATTTATCACACAGCCAAAAACCTAACCTAGAAACCACGATGTTTACAAACTCAAATTGGAGAACACTCATTGGTCCAATAATAAAAATTGATTTGCCGCCTTTTTTCTTTGCAAGCAAAACGTGTGAACATGTCTGAAAATGGGATCGGGCGTCAACACTCAACGATGCACTGATGACTTCCATTTTCGCCTCCCATTTGCTACGTGGGCAGACGGCATTAGACGTTTACGGTTTCCTTGGTAACCTTTGTTTGCTATCAGCTGATATCGAGTAATATGACTAGGAAGCTCCAACCCAGTGGTTGGAGCTTCCTTAACCGCGAAAACTTTAAAATTCAAATTTTCAAATTTTGAACGTAAAGTACATTTTTTCCATCACGAGATTAAAGCACAGACAAGTTTTGAATTATTGACTGTATCACCATGATTCCAAAAATACACTACACAACATAGCATTGGCTAACAATAAAACAATATGCAATAAAATAAAGTCATGACAAGGAACATAGCCGAAAATGGCGCCGATTCCCATTAACCAACGCGCGGTCTCTCCAATGTAACATGGTCCAATGATACTCCCCAGCTGAGACCGTCCGGAATAGCAGCTCTAGTGCAAGCACCAGAGCCGCTAAAAACACATTAGATCTAGAGTCCAGACTCTTAAAAACATCGACAAGAAAAAATACTCAGAATCTAGCTTAAATCAAGAACCAAGCCTCTTAATTTAAGCGGATTTCGTTTTGATTCAAGCAAAAATCTGATTGAATCAACAGTATTTTTTCTTGTCAATGTTTTCAAGAGTCTAGATTCTAGATCCATTAAGTTTTTTTTTTCCAGTGTGAAGGCATGCAGAAAGTCAAATTAGGTATTTCACCATTCGCCGAGGCAAGTGCGGTCACATTTGATAACTTCAAAAGTTTTGTGCATTTTTTTATAAAGATTACTCGAGTTTTGAACTTTTTGAAAATGGGAAACAATCGACTCTACAAACTTTGAGTGTACTCTCCTTTCTAAATGCTCCCCGTATATGTTTTAAGTGTCGGAATTCGCAAAATTCTGCATCTCAGGACATACTGCACGTCTAGGGATAAGAGTTAGTTTGATAGCTACGCGAATAATTATGGAGAGCTCTTTCCTACACGGATGGACGCATAATTGGACGTAATTCTATTAAACGGAACTATGTGAATTGTGACGTAAGCCCGCTAATGCATATATTCTTATGGGTCTCAAGGCTCATATCGTGATGCACATAGTTCCGTTTGGATGAAATACGTCCAATTATATTCTCTATAATGAGCGAAAGAATAAAAATTTCAATGAAAGAAAGATCATTAGACTATTTGCCCACAGGCAGTTGACAAAATGCCTGATTTGACCTTTTGTCTGCGAAATTTGCGCAATGTAATTGAATTTGGAAACAAAAATGTTTGAATACATTTTCAAAAAATCTGTTCAACTTTGATATCATACTACGCAGTATCAACACTGCTACACGTTATGGGTCAGTTGCTTACACAATTAGATCGTAGATTACGATAAATTTTGCTTCCCACTACTGACATAGACTGTGTATCACGCAGCAACACGGTAGCGGATTTCGTCCCCAGATCATTGAGATGCACTTTAGTAAACTTTAACACAAGTAATAAAGCCAAATACTAGAATATTCTATTTAGCGTCGGAATCTTGCAATTAAATATTCCATTTCAATTCATTCCATCCCTCGACTACTACTGCGCAAGTTACAAATTTTACAAAGTAATGCAGGATCTTTAATTCTAAGTTCCAAAGAACTTACGTCTAGAACGTGTATAGAACATAAAGATTAGTTTACCGTGAAACCACCTTCCTGCACAGTCGGGATAAATCCATTCAGTGCCTGTAAAAGGAGAAAAAATTAGATTATAATCGAGTGAGTTTATTTCGAAATGCAGCCGATTAACTACCAGTAGTCATCGATATAATCACACAAAAATCACTTTGAGTACATAAAAAATGTCCAAAATCAACTCCTCGCCTCAAAATTTTCGGTATCACGCATATTACAATTCATCCTGCTTCGGCAGGCACCTTTTTCCTGAACAATGTAGTAAGGAAATAAATGATCTATCTAATCGTTACATTTATACGATGTATGTTTTGTGCTTAAAATTTAACGTAAAACACGATTCGTACGATGAATTTTATTGGAAGTAACTCCTCATCAAGAGATTAACATTCTTTTATGCATCAGTAAATCCAAACGTCCCGCTTTGGGTAAAAATGATAATGTACTTCAGTCATTGCTACGAGAAAGGGCCAGGCTTGAACGCCTTCAATTTTTCGAATATGTAACATGGACATCCTTTGAGCAGGTATACTTGCATCCAAGCGCTGCGTTCAACACTGGGCGCGCGCGACTGTTCGCGGTAAAAATTAAATTGCTGATTTAACAATCCAATTGCTAAAAAAAGTGACTGCAATGTTTTAATGTAGATTTTACAACAAATAAATGCTACTTTAACCACTCCCGTGGTTAAATTAGCTTACAATAGTGGTTAATGTAGCATTTTTTTTTGTTGTGAAATCTACTTTGAAATATTGTAGTCACTTTTTTTTAAGCAATTTAATTGTTAAATCAGCAATTTACTTTTTTCCGTGTACATACTTTAAAACTAAAGCGTTTGGTCTACATGAGATTTTACCATAAGCTCATTTAGCCTTCATAGCTCTTTGATGACCTGAAATCTGAAAATATTACGGAAAAAGTGGGTTAGGAGTTGAATTTCAGGCCTTTCCGATGTCTTCAACGAGATTTTTGTGAGTGGTTTGCAATGTGAAATTGCGGACGGAAAAAGCAGTCATATTATTGTGCAACAATATTTTCAGTCAATATTGTGACGTTAGGATGAAGTTACGTCCCCTCTTTGGATAAACGACGATATCGATTGCGAAACCGCAAAAACGCGAATCTTCTTTGGGGTGTTTCAAAATCTTCACTCCCATTCGCTTTTATCAAAGAAAAAAAAGACCGACATTATTGCCTCTAATTCTTACAATATTTTCTTTAGGCATCAGAAAAAACAACTTAAGAAATTTCTCAAAAAACAACCGCGAGTTTTTGTCTTCAGAACAAACGAATTATGACGGGATGTCTTTAGTGTCCCGAACTGTGTTACGCGCTTTTGTACTTTCACCGTCGGTATGTTGCTAGCATAGTTGACAGATGGTGCTGAGAAATCGGCACTTTCCTCATTTAAAACCACATGTACTAAACGTATTGTATCGCACATCCTGGCGAGCTCGATTGCCCGTCCCCCAAACTAGGCAACGCACGTGCCACCAAGTTGTACCCGGCCAGGCAAAAGAGTGATGTAATACGAAAGTCTGATCAACTGATCGGCGCACAGCGGATCGAGTCAATAGTTGAGGTCGGACATGAAATTTTTAACAAAAACTGCAAATTTTGATGTTTAATTCGTCACATTTTAAATTTTAAGGAGACAATTATACGAAGAAATCAATGGAGCCACTCTCAGAATCTCAAAGTTTTGTATAAACTGAGTTTTAAGCGTATAAAATTTCCAAATTTTGTCCGACCTCGCCCATCGATTCGATCCACTGTGCGGCGCATTATCAACACAATGCCTCAAGTCGCCATGATCAAGCTTTAGCTTTCGTGTGTGCTCATATTCTCACTTCGAGTTTCATATTTTATTCGTCTACTACTCAAAATGAAATAATCCAAGTTAATAAGAATCAATTTTTTCTTTCTTCCTTTCTTTTTGAATTCGTCATTTGCGCCGAGAAATTTTTGTTGGATCGATAGAAATTTCAATCACGGCGAGACTCGAGGGATTTCTCGTTCAGTCAACAGGAAACCTCATTGTTTTAAACGATATTTCTCTTACTTCCAAAGGACGTATATAGTTACTTCAAGCACATATCCAGTTGACTTATCGATAATGCTCGATCTGCAATTATAGACTGGAAACTTTGTCTCAGGGTGAACCGCACTTTTCACCTAGAAACTATTATTTCTGGTACATTCGTAAAATCACCTATATCTGGCATTTTTCACAAAGAAACCATAATTTCTGGCACATTTGTAAAATCGCTTATCTACATTGAAACATTCAAAAAAGAGGAGGTTAAAGCGAAGGAGGAGGAAGAAGAAGAGCAGAAAGAAAAGTAGAAGGAAGAGAAGTGATAGAGGAGGACAAATACGAAAAAGGAGCGAAGAAGACGAAAAAAAGAAGGGGAGAATAATGAATTAAGAGCAGGGCCGGATTAAGGGGGTGGCTACATGGGCTGCGGCCCGTGGCGGCGAATCTATGGGGGCGGTAAATTTTGAAATTTTTTTAAATGTAACTAATGGTAGACGAGACTACCTGAGAGGGTAGACTGAATGACCAACACGAATAAACTTAGAATAGGATTATTCAGAATAATCGCAAGGACTGGATGACAGTAGCCAAGACTGAAGTTGGGGAAGCTATCACAAATACGAATTATGTAGGTATAGAAAATTCGAATTTAGAAAAGGAAATTGCAAACGAGAAAAGGCGACAAAATCTCTAATTTTCTGAGAGTATAGTAATGTCTGCTTTTGTCGTCTTTCAGGGATACAAGAGACAGCACCTTCATAAGTCGAGTTAAGAGAGAAACCAAACACGCAATTTGGCCTGGAAACAAACGAGAACGGTTAGAGAGAAACGATGACGAGGACTTGAGATGAAAAGGAGAAGCCCTCGGCGCGGCGATCGGCATGTAATACATATTAGCCCCTACATGACTGCACAAATACTTCACGCATTGCGGCAAACACAGTGCGATCAGCGTGAAACGCATAGCGCCTACAAGACTGCGTGAATGCTTCCCGCATTGCGTCAAACGCAGTGCGTTCAGCAGCGGTCGGCGTGAAACTCATAGCGCCTACAAGAATGTCGGAATACTTCACGCATTGCGCCAAACGTACGGTGCGGTCTGCGCGGCGCGGCGGCGGAAGTTAAAATCATTAATCCACATTTATGTTTGTTCTTTCATAATTGTTTCGTTCATTTCTTATGAATGGAAGGCCTTGTCCACACAGAGATAGGTTTACGAGACTTGACTTTCGCGCAAAGTTCCGTGAACTTTTGCTAGCAGTGTTGGCAGGGCTTTCCCAAAAAATGGGTTCAACACAATTAAACGCGTCTTATGCACCCCTCTCCCGCTGGCACGTTCATTTGATGGTTTTTATTGATGTTTCAAAACGAATGAGAAGGGGGCGGCAGGTAGGTAAATCCGGCCCTGATTAAGAGGAGAAAGAAAAAAATAAAAACAGAAGAAAAGAGAAGAAGAAAAAGTGGAAAGATGGCGATGAAAAAAGTGGAAGGAGAAAAAACAGGGAGGGAAGAGGATAAAGAGGAGAAAAAGTTATAGTGAGTTATACAGGAAAAAAAGAGGAGGGGGAAGAGGAAGAATAACAAATAACGAGAAAAATGGTAATAGGAATACAAAAAAGCAAGGAAAATGAGAGAGGGGAGTATAGGGGGAATGAGAAGAAGGAGAAAAAGAAGAAGAAGTGGAAAAAGAAGAAGAAGGAGAAAAAGAAGAAGAAGGAGAAAAAGAAGCAGGAGGAGAAAAAGAAGAAAAATGAGAGAAAGAAGAAAAATGAGAAAAAGGAGAAGAAGCAGAAAAAGAAGAAGTAGCAAAAAAAGAAGAAGGAGAAAAAGAAGAAGAAGGAGAGACAGCACCTTCGGCGACACTTGGACGATACGTTAAAAATTGACTTTAAAATGCCTTTAATTAACAGGGTGTTACTCTGATTGTCTCTAAAGTCAACTCTTATTTGACCACACCCAGGGGCTTATCTTTAGTATAGGAACATAATAATGTTATTTTCAAGAGTTAATGAGAAGGATAACCTGTGTTATTTTAGGTAATCCATACCAGCGGCCACACGCCCAAGTGCTCGTACTACGACCGAATCCGGACTCTAGTTCATGCTATCTCAAATGCGTTATTCCAAGACGAGTATTTAGAATTCGGCGTCGTGACTGGAATCACAAACGTCGGAACTGAAGACATGAACTTTCTGGAGTGTCCGATGAACGACGGTGCTCTCTCCGAGTTCTTCGGCTTCACCTACGATGAAATGGAGTCTAGGACGAAGAAGGAAAATAAATCACTATAAAATCATATTTTTGATAAAAAAAAAGAAGAAGAAAGAAAACTTAAAAAATTGTGATATTGGGGGGAAACGTTTTAAATCTTTTACTTTTTTCTTTAAAGCCCTGGATGGACGATCAAATTCCGAACCAATTCCGATCAAAGTAGACATGCTGATGATTGATGGGCACCATCTACCATCAAATTTTGACGTGCCGCACTATTTTGTTCAAAGTAAGATCAGAATGGAGAGCCACCATTCATCATTTCCTGCCACAGGAAACATTTTTGCCAAGTTTTCATTTGAAAATTAAGCAAATTAATGAGTTTAAGACTGATGACTCCCGACACTTTGATGGCAATTGGTTCGGGAATTTGATCGTCTATCGAGACCTTTTAACTTTTGCGATAACTTTCAAGAAAGTAAGTGTTGATCTTTTAAATCAATTATGATAAAATCGTCTATCTTTAGTGAGAGTCACTTAACTTTGATAGCACAAATGAGATCATTATAATGATTTTACTGAATGTTAATATTTTGGTTAAGATGGTTAACTATTTTAATGAGGCTTTTCTAATGATTTAATTTAAGGGCCTGGATAGCTACTAATTCTTCTTCTTCTTCCTTTTTTTATTATTATTTTAATGAAACTGAATCATCTGTTAGTAATGTAAATGATATTATAAATGATAGGACCAGACGGATTAATCTGACATTTATCTAGATCTTCTCTGGACCTATCTGACATTAATCTGGACTTTAAAAATGATGAAAAAAAAAAAAATATTGGGTAAAATTTTGAAATGGTTCTGCTCATTAATTTCCCTTAGAACTATTTTGACAAGCTTGAAAAGTTTAGAAAGATAGCGTCTGTGCACAAATGACGCTTCTGATATTTTTCACAGAGAGAAGGAGAGCTGGGGAGGGATAGAGAGAAATTCAAGAGACAAGGCGTAGTGTTCGTGAACCCTTACCCGCCCAACACGAAATATTGCAGCAATATTGCAGCAATATTGTCAATATTGAAACAATATTGTCATGTAAATATTTCCTTAAATACACTGCAGAAATATGTTGACAATATTGCTAAAATATTTCATGACAATATTGTAACAATATATTTATAAAAATGTTTTAAATATATTTACAAAATATATTTATGTAATTACTTTTAAAACAGTTTGTAAAATATATTTACAAAATATTTTAAAATTATTTTAGAAATATTAGTTTAAAAATATTTGTTTAATATTATGTTAAAAATATTTTATAAATATTTTTGTAATATTTAAAAATTAATTGCTAAAATGGCAAAAAATGGTTTGCGATTTCTGCAATTTGCTTTTTTTGCTAAAATGCCCACCCTCGTGGCGAGAACGACAAAACAATTTGCAAAAGTGGTAATTTTATTGTGCGAAAATGGCAAACTATACTTTTGCGAAATTAACATTACTAGTTTATGCTATTATGGCTAAAATTTTTGCTAGATTTTCAAAATGTTTGCCAAATTAGCGTATGGTTTTGCTCTGTTTACCAATTATTTTGCGGAACTTACTAAAATCAATCGCTAGAAAAAAGAAAGGGGGGGGGAAGAAAAGACAAAAAGAAGGGAAAAAAATAAATAACATAACATAAATACATCGACATAAATTCAAACTAGGAAAAAGCTCAAATAATTAAAACTGGAAAAAGACGCAATTATAAAAAACAGTAATTTGGTAAAGAAAAAAATGAGAGAGAGTTAAAAAAAACGAAAATTTGTAATACATGAATAGGAATATGTTGAGTACAATTAATAAAGAATTTGAAACACAAATTACAGGATGAAATAAAAAATAATAAATAAATAATAAATAATAAATTCTGGTAAAATATTATAAGAATCCGTCAATAAACAAACATATTACGGACTCAGAGGCCTGCGATAGTTAAGAGATTGAATTTACGGGCCCATCTACATCAAGCCTGGCTGGTCTGGTGGTAAAGTACTGGACTTCGGATATCAACTCCACCCCGAGGCGTGGGTTCTAATCCCGACTAGGACGGCGCGGACTTTAAGGTCAGTAACAACTCTACGATCCACAACCTGGACGCATGTGTACATTAGAAAGAAAATTAGTACCAAAGACGTCTCCTAGAGTGCGCGTACACGGATATGGAATATGATAACCTCATCGCAAGTAAATATTTTTAAAATATATTATCAATATTACCTTGACAATATTGCTGCAATATTGTCAGGGGGGCGGACAACAAACTATTGCAGCAATATTATTTCGATATTGTTAAAATATTGTTAAAATGTTTTTGACAATATTTCAGCAATATTTTTAAAATATTTCCGTGTTGGGCGGGTAAGCGCTTGCGCTCCTAGAATGGGACCGATGCATTCGAAGGTTAAAACGTCGCAAGCCCCATGAGCTTGGAATTGGGGGTTTTCAAAATTTCCGTAAAAAGTTACACCACACGTGTCTTCTCACGTTTCTAGGACGGGATCAGGGGTTTCTTGGGCTTTGGCTGTTCCTGGTTGCCCAATAACAGCAGGAAAATCAATGACACAATTTTATTTTGTAATAATGTTTTTTTCATCTCTCTCCTTGTTTTTGTAAAGGTAGTACATTTAGTTAATTTGTTTTTTTAATAGTTAAGATAAGCTTTTTAAAGACATTTAATACGTCCAAAAGTGTATCTTTGTATAGTTTCTTTTGTGCGCAATAAAAATTAAAAAAGATTGTTCGTGAATAATGGTACGAATAGATCTAGCTCACTAATTGAAATCTGCTAATATTTCTACAACAATACTAGAAGCGTATTTTTTTCACACAGTTGCACGAACTTTCTCTACATTTGTATCTAACATGTTGCCTTGAATCAGCGATGAAAATAAGTATTGGAGGTACTCCAAAGATCCTAAAAGCTGGTGTACTTGTGAGTGTATGCTTTCATATAAGTCTTAGTTTAATATACTTGGATTATGTCTAAGGTCTTGACGACTCACGACTTGTGTCTGGGAACTTATTTAATAAAATTCACACGGAACATTTATTTCGAGGGATTCCTACAGGGTGCAAAGATAATCAAACGAATACATGTTTTAAAATTCACTTACCAGGGGCATGGAACATAAATAAAATATAAGAAATCGCGACATTGTAGATGGTATTGTGCGCACAAAGAATATCACTGACACAGAAGTAGTGATAGTATTGACCTTATATGTGTAGACAAGTAAGTCCGAGATAAAAAATTTATCTGCGCGGTGCTGCATGAAAATAAAACCTCAAAACTGATTAGTCCGAGAAAACGCTATCATTTCAATACATAGGGTGTCTGAAAAGTAAATATTAATCTGAATGTGCTCACGGATATTATCATATGGATTACATTTTGCGAATGAGGAGCTTGGAAGACACGGCGCATAAGAGCAGTTTTTATTATTTCGAAAAAAAGAAGAGTTTAAAGTTCTGCATTTTACTCAGACCTACAGAGAACTCCGGGTACCTTCAAATGTGTTTGTCTCAAATGTTCATGAACGTTTTCTGAAATTTTCAGCTCAGTTGAGGCAATTTAAGGCCAGAAGTTGGGTTTAAAGTGACGGTAAGTCGCATTTATCCCGAGCCCTCTCTAAACGAAAAATGCACTTATCTCATTCGCTGTTGTCTCTGCGTCAAATGACTTTCAGAGAAAATAGCTTGGGATTTCGATAGACTTTACCTTACCTTCTCCTACCAAAAAACATGCACAACTCAATGTTGATCAAAGATATGCCTCTGAGCACACAATTTTACTTTTATTTCCATCCGGTTGTAGGACATTTCGTCAACGAATTTTTGTCCGCGCACCTGTTTTTTCCAGGAGTTTACGTCTACGCGTTTTTTCGGAAGAGGAGTTTTGGTCCACTCACCACTAAATATCCAAAGTTAATTGGTCCACATGTAAATTCAAACGACAATTGCTTACGACGTTTTTGGATGAAAATGTTTAATGTCTTGGAAGAATGAGGGTTTGCTTGTTTTTTTTTTTTTTTTTTTTTTTTTTTTTTTTTGCTCCAACAGAGAGGAATATGTAATTAAGATTTTTGGTGAAAATGAGGGAGCGTCATTTCCATGAGAGAAAATTCACTATAAAAATCTCTACACCTCTTTAGTGCAACAGGACTTAATTATCCTTCAAGAAAATCCCATATTTTTATACCTGAACTGGAAAACCTTTTGATTTGCCTCATAAAGGATCTCATATTTTCCTGTGCATGATAACTTCGCTTCAGCACTGGTTTACCGCAGCGCTTCGAGCTACTATTTCGCCGCGGAGGTGTTGCACAGTACCTATCATATGAGATCGAAGGCACCCCAACGTATTATTGATGGCATCTTTCAGAAGCACGAAGTTCCCTCGCAAATTAAATCGAGTGACGACAACAAAAAGAGAGCGGTAGTCGAAAAACTTACTGTCCTAGTATCTGTATTTAATAACGTTTAGTATGATTTTTAACTTCATCAGAGGAACAAATGACCTAAGTTAAGGAGAAATATCCTCAAATTTACCGCCGAGAAGATTTCCTTATGAGTTAATAAAAAAATAATGTTTTCTTAATGAAGAAAAGATGTTTTTATAAAAAGGAAAGTCACTTACATCAAGCAGAAACCCGCTTTTGTTCACCTCTTTTATGCTTGATTCAAAATAAAATCCTCTTGACGGCATATTCAAGAATGTTCCTTTATCTCTCTTATCTCGACTTATTTTGCAAGGAAAGTTCCGTACTCTTAAAGGATGCCTGTCATTCTTATTGTTGGTATGTTTGAGTGCCTTCAATTTTGTATAATACTGTACAACACCTCTATTGTGAAATAGTGAAGCGCCGTGGCACTTGGCACGCTGCGGCGCGGCCAGCCAGCCAGCACGGAACGCGCATTGGCGCCTACAAACCTAAGGGATACCTCAAGCATTGCGCAATGCGTTAAGTATCTGCTTAGGTTTGTAGGCGCCAGGGCGCGTTTCGTGCTGGCAGTACGTCTCATCACTCCGCTTTATGCTAGGGCCTATTATTTAAATTCGCGGAGTCAGCGTGGAGTCAACTCATGATTTTTATATGTTTGCACACTCTGCGTGGATTACTTTAATTTAAATTGATGAAAAAATATATATGAGGACTTATCTGAACAATAGCGGATGTGAAAAATTACTTTTTCGAAACACATTAAAAAAACTGTTTTGGCATAGAGAAAATTTTGAGAAAATGCTTGAGATGTGATCTTCGAGATCTGTACATTATGCCAGAGCCAAACATATTAAATTTTTGTGTGAGCAAAACAGTTTTTTAAGCGTGTTTCGAAAAGGTAAATGTTCACATCGCTATTGTTACAGATGAGTCCTCATGTATGAAAGGAAAATTTAATGTGTGTTTTGTAAATATTAAGGCGTTTTCTTGTCGTATTTAATGATTTTTAAAGCACATTAATATTTTCTTTTATTGTATTTTGTGCTTTTACTGTGCTGCAGCGTGGTGTGAGCGCAACCAAACGCTCAAAATAGGACGTATTTGACTCTGAGAGATCGATGTACAGATGGGCTAAAACCGAAGATTGCGTGCTTCTCGGTTTTTTCCCACTTTTATTCATTTGTGCATAGTTTCTTTCGTCACAACTACTGCTCATTGACTTTAATATCGATGCCATCGCTTGGAAAAGATTTTACAAATATTTGCCACGTTTTAAAAATGTAAATGTTTTTAAAATAAAGTAATATTTTTATTGAAAAAAACTATTTATAAGGTTTATTTTTCATCGAAAATTTTAAGGATGGAAATAAAACCAAATATTCGCCCATGACAATTTAAAAAGATTGATCAAAAGAAGGAAATAACATTTCATTAAAGAAATGAGTTACCACAACAACTCTTCCGTGTCTCTTAATTTTCTCATTTCATTCTTGTCAATATAATTTTACATTCGGACTAAAATATGACACTTGGACCAAGTCACTGTTGCTTATTTCACACGTGGACGTAAACTACTGGACAAAACAGGTGTACGGACAAAAAATCGTTGACGGAATGCCCTGAAACCTTCCATCCTTCCTTTTTCAACATGGAAAAAAACGAAATGGCCTGGATTTCTGTTTCCCCTTCGCCTTTCCCTCCTGGTTTTATCTACTGTGCTTTCAGTGAGGTCAAGTCGTTTTCATGTATCTCACCTGTTGAAATACATACAAGCATAACGAGCTATGACACGCAGCTGAGGCTAGTGGGCTCTGATCTCTAGTCTCGGATTTCTAAAACTGCACTTATGTGCCTTGTCTTCAAAGCCCCTCAAATGGGAACTCTACCTGTGGAACTTGTGGGAACTCCCAAATTTATTTGAGATGCAACATACCTGCCATTAATTTCCATATCCAGATTGGTTTTTCAATGAAAAAAAATAGTAGTTCCCACTCGAAAACTTAAGTCCATATAGAGACTCCGGAACGTGTGGTTTCTCTTCAGTAATGGGGTGGTTTTTTGGGGTGATAATTTTCAAGAACCTCAGGGTAAAGAATAAAGCAGGGAAGTTACTCTAGTAGCATGAAATCTTGTGAAAGTGATTTTGGTTAAACCTATCTGATTGCTCATCGTCGTAGATTAAATGAGTGATTTTTTTTTTTTTTTTGCCTACGAAGAATATTTTTAGGAATTTTTGTGGGAAAAAAAAAGTAAAGAACACCTGTTGACATCTGGAAGTGTAATAAGAACACCTGTTGACATCTGGAAGTGTAATTTGGCGTGCATTTCACTTGCAGCCTAATTTGACCACGATGAACTCGAGTATGTTTTGATGGAATTTCCACACTTGGCCACACTTCCCCCGATGAAAAATGTATTTTTGAAGAAAGTCATGCATATTTTTCCTTTAAATTTTCAGATATTTTAGATTGAACTGCCGAAAAAATTTTCTGAAAAATTAGAAATAAAATCTTCACAATTTTCCCAATAAATTCACTTTTAATCAGAGAAAATTTGGCTGCGCCTGAGGGCTAATACGGCGTTTTTCCTTAGCACGGCAGAATTGCTGGCAGTGGCGTAACGGGTGCCCCCGCAGACCCTGCTATGCAGGGGGGCCCAGGCGCCTAGGGGGGCCCAGGCGCCTAGGGGGCCCTCGGCCGCCGGAATTTTTTTTCTCTCTCTCTCTTTTTGATGCTTAGCTTTGGTTTCAAACTTTGGGCCTTTACTTACCGAGATGGAACTTCTTCCTCTGATTTTTATTGTTAGCACGGGGTATTTTATACTTCTTTTGGACTGTTCCTAACTTTTTGTTTGCAGGAGGGCCCCTGCCTTCCAATGTCCACTCAGTGATTACTAAACATTTTTTCTTTTTTTGTCACTTTTCGTTATTCGGGCTTTGGGAGATCCAAGAACCTAAAGGGCCCCAAGGCTCTTGGGGGCCCTTTGATTCTTGGGCCTACGCCCCTCTGTAGATCCTTGGGCCTGGGCTGGGCCCCTGCCACCCTTTAGATCATTGATCCTTTAGGGGCCCCATTTAATCGGGTAAGGTATCCGGGGACGGTAAGGGGTGAGGCATTCCAAGTCCGTGATTTGAGATGTCTCGGGCAAAAAAATGGGAAGGGGCGGGAGGGGGGGAATAATTTTGGAATTTTATCGACATGGGGGGGGGGGCTAGAAAAAAATTTGCGGGGGGGCCCAGCGGAAGTCCGTTACGCCACTGATTGCTGGTATTGTGATACTCGTGTATTTTTCTTAGAAGGGGATGACACGTTACGACACACTTTTTGAGTTTCGGGCAAAAAGGAACAGTAATTACAGTTGCCTTCGCGGCGTACAGAAAAAACAAGCACTCGGCAATAAAACGTCATCAGAATACTTCCGTTCTGAGGAAGTACGCCGTATGGATATTCCAAAGTTGCAAACTTTCTCTGGATGAAACATGTATTTTCTAGGGAAGTCATGGTCATTTTTCCTTGAAATTTTCAGATATTTTAGATAAAATTGCGGGCAAAAGTTTTAGAAAAATTAGGAGGAAAATATCTACGAATCTACCCGAAAATTCGTGATTTGTCTAAGGGAAGTTGACGTCTGAAGGTTTATGCGGCGGTTCTCCTTGTCACGGCAGTATTGTCGGCATTGTGATACTTTT